GAGACTGAGCTGCCTGTGTGCAGTGCTGGAGACTGAGCTGCCGTGTGCAGTGCTGGAGACTGAGCCCACTACTTCTTACATGTTAGACACTTCACCAGCTGAGCTCCACTTCAGCTCTGGTTTCTCTAAGATGTGAGGTATTTAAACCTATTTGACTGTTTATGAAACAGAACTAGCTGAGAACAGGTAGCTGACTATCCAAGGAGGAGACTGACTAGACATCATAGCAGATTTCAGGGAGGAAGCAAGCAAACTGTTTCTTTCCCTTTCTTTTTATGTTGAAAAACATAATGAATTTAATCATATAAATTGTATACAGATAGGAGTTATAAATAAAAATTAATTTTCAAATGGATAGCCATTAGTAAGTTTGTTCGAACAGAAAGGGAAAATTGTAAAAATAATATATCATGAATGAAAATGAGTCATTTCTATAAAAATACAAGGCAAGTTTTCATGTGAAAGTATGCTTGAAATAATTTTATATAAAGAATTGGCTCAGTTGTTAAAGGTTAGGCTCACAACCAAAAATATAAGCAGACTGTTTCTCAAATCTCAGAGGCAGGACTGGAGAGACGGCTCAGCAGTGAAGAACACTGGCTGCTCCTTCAGAGGACCTAGCATTGATTCTTAGTGCTCACATGGTGGCTCACAATCATCTGTAACTCCAGTCCCCAGAGAATCCATTGCCTTCTCCGGCTTCCCTGGGCACCACAGACATTCGGTGCAAAGACATACATGGAGGCAACACACTCATACACATAAAACATAAATGAAAAAATAAAACCCAGAGCAGGGGCTAGCAAAAGAGGAAGAGAAGGAGTTGGACAGAGGCAATGGAGTTAGAGAGGAGAAAGTTGTCCAAGGATAAAATGAAAAGTGCCCAGCTGAGGTTCTTTTTCTTATGTGTGTGTGTGTGATTGAGGGTGTGTGGGAATGGAAGGGGTCAGCATCTGGTGTCTTCACCATTCCCCACCTTATTTTTTTGAGACAGGATTTCTCACTAAATGTGGGTCTCATCAATTCACCTCTCAGATGAGAAAAACCTCTCTCCTTTCCAAGTTGCTTTTGGTCAGTGTTATATAAAGCAATGGGGAAGCAAACCAGGATACTTGCCAAAGACTCAAACTCATCAGAGCCATACATAAATACATAGAATAATGATAATAACAAGGCTGAGATTCCACATGAAGAGACTCCTGAGGTACTTCTGGGTCAAGAAAGCCCAGGCTTCTTTCTTTGGTTGCTGTTCTTTGTTTCTCTTACTTTAAAGAATTAGGAAAAAAAAAATAGTTTCATGGTGGTTATGCTAATTAGAAACAACAACATAGAACTTGAGTAGAACAGAATAAGTCCTTACATGTCTGAAAGTCTACTTTGAAAAAGTCCCATTGTCCACTGGGGAAGAGGAAAGGGATGGGGAGAAGTAGTGGATTAGGAGAGACAATGAGGATGAATGTGATCAAAGGCGTCTGCATGTATGAAAATGCCACAATGAAGCCCATTATGCTGTGTAATTAATATGCACTATATAAAAAAAGTTCCATTGTTTGCTGGTCACAAGAGCCTCCAGTGAGACCTGTGTGGGAGAATTGCATCCTGGTCTGAGAACCAGCTGAGATGAGCTGCAGAACACCCAGAAGGCCCTTCCTTCCTTGGAAACTACACCTTGAGAAAAAGGCAGAAAAGTCCTGGAAACAGCTAGAGTCTGAGGCAGCAGTAGTCCCTGGAAGTGGAGAGCTGGGCCTCCTGAGACTTGCCAAGGTTTCTCCCAGGACCTGGGAAGGCCAGGGCAGAGGAACCTGGACTGTAAGATCCTGAAGGCCAGGCAAGCTAAGCATGTGCACTTGAGTCAGTATGTCTGAGTGTCAATATCCACCCCTCTTAGCTGTGTGACCCAGAGAAAGGTACTACATTTCTCTAAACCGCAGGTTCCTCATTTGTGGAAGGGGGGAATAAATTCTGATTGCACTTAATCACAAGGCTGGGGTGGGACAGAATGAGAGAATTCATCTGAAAGAGCCTTAGCTGGATGTGTAAGAGCACCCGAGAAATATGAGCGATGATTACATAACTCCTTATTTTACAGATGACAAAACTTGGCCCAAAGAGTGAAGCCATGTTTGTAAGATGGTCTGGCTTATAGGAGAGCCAGGCCTGGGTCTGTGTGTTCTTCCTCTGTCCCACTGATGATAAAAAAGTAATATGTTAGTGCCAGAAAGCAAAGCCAAATTCTGGGCTCAAATTCTAACTCTTCCACTGTCTGGTGCTAAATACAAGAGGAAATCTGTTTTTAAAAATTTATTAATGTGTTTATTTAGTGTGCTAGGGATTGACTCTATGGCCACAAGTATACATGTATGCTAGACAAGCACTCTACCATTGAGCCTTGCCCCCTGTCCCAGGGACACCTGTTTAAACTTTGGATTCCTCCACTGTGTTATGAGTAAATTCAGGTTGTTACAGGGTCTGAGATGAAAGGCCGTGAGGCTGCACTCACGAGTCTAGCAATGACATTTCCCTGCTACCCCGTTTCTATATCTTCCTCTTGCCTTCTAAGTCAGGCCCTCAGAACTCTCATGTGGAAGAAAGCAGCAGGCAAGCCTTCAGCCCTTTAGTGAAGAGTCCATGGGCTAACAAGATGGCTCAGTGTGCAAAGGTTTACCATCAGGCCTGATAATTTGAGTCGATTCCCAGGTACCCCATGGTGAAAGGAGAGAACTGACTTTTAAAGTTGTCTTCTGACCTCCACATACATATCATGGCACATACATTTGCATACATGTACACACAATAAATAACTTAGAAAATAGGAAGTACGCATGATTTCTCTGTACTAGCCTTTGGTTCAGGGCCTTAGGAGAGTTGGCCAAACTCAACAGGTACAGGCTCATAGTCCTAGAGAGTACAGTAGAGGCATGTAGAACCTTGAGTGGTATAGTTGGAGTCTGGTAGAGGTATGGAGAAGTAGGGTTCACGCTGAAATATGGGGAGGGTGCCAGCTGGGATCAGGGAGAAGCTGAGTTGCTGAAGCAGTCTGGCAATGCCTGTAGCTGTACATATGACTTCATGGGAAAAGAGTGGCTTCGAATGTGAAGAGCAGAGGATGGCCACAAGATACAGACAGCCAGGCCTCTCTGTTGGTGATGACAATGGGTGCTACAGCTACTACCCAGTTCCTCAAGGAGAACAAGAGCTTCTTCCACAGTTTTTTGATACTGTTGGGTTAGACAGTGCTGGAACTTTGAGGGCAGAGACTGTCACCCCTCCTGTGTCAGGCCTCCTTCCAGGGCAGCCTACAAAGGATGACAGGTGACCCTGGTGTGTAGCATCTTGACTCGCACTGGTCAGCTCAGAAGGGTCATCTCAGTCTCAGGGATCCCTGTGGTCTTGGTTGAGCTCGTTATTACTACTGTATCAGCATCTTCTGTCCTACCCTGCTGTGACCATCAGACTGTTCAATATTGTCTCCGGGGATGAGAGGGTAATTTCTTAGGAAAATGAGTCATTGGAGCACAGGGTGGAGCAGGTGGGTGAAGAAGAGGAATTAGAGAAAAAGAGGATGATGCTGGAGGGCATGCCAAGAGACAGTGGGTCCAGAGAGGGTGATGCTGGAAGCAGGGAGTGCAAGAAACAGTGGGCCCAGGGCCAGGCAAGAAGTTTCCAGCCCACACAGTATGAAGAATAATTGAGATTGGCAAGTAGTTTGTACATTGGACAAGGGACTCAAACAAGCTGGATGGAAGGCATGCTGCTGGGTCTCCTAGCTTCAGCTCTGACCTTCTACAGTCTGTTCCCATACCATTTAGAATAAAGCAAGTCATGTTACTTTCTAGCTTAAAAATCCTCCAAAGGTTCTTCATGCGCTATGAATAGAACCCACAAGTGTCTTGCTATGACTCATGAGATCTGTCATAATTTAGTCTTTCTCACCTGTTTTTTCTTTCCTGGTGTATGTGTGCCTGTACACAAGAGAGATCAGAGGACTGCCTTGGGTGTCATTCCTTGGGCACTGTCTACCTCGTTTTGAGAGATGGCCATTGATAAGCTTGGTGCTAGCTGCTTGCACTAGCCTGGCTGGTTAACCAGCCTCACAGATAGGTCCTCACTGGCTCCTCCCCAACATCCTTCAGATTTTTTGCTCAAATATTACTTTCTCGGTGAACTTTTCCCTGACCACTCAGTTTCCTCTTCCCAGCATTATATGTTTGACTTTCCTGTTTCATTTCCCCCTATGCCAATTTGGCTTCTGTAGCAAACTGATCCATGGTTTGTTTTTGTTTCTTTTTGTTAAACTCTATACTCAAGGAGGCCCTGGCCACAAAGAGAACAACTATTCTGCTACACAGTAGCTGTTCCGTAATTGTTCTGCAAATCAGTCTGTGACTCCCATGACAGCTAGAACAGGAGCAGTTCAGGATGCTGGCTGTGGAGGTGCCTGCAATTGTTTCCCCTGCAGAACACACTCGTTGGAAACTAAGGTTCTCAACAATTCTCCAACTTTAGAAAAGTCGAGGAGGCAACAATTAAGGATTCAGACCGGATGAAGGATAGGGGAATCCACTTCTCAGGAGGTAAGCCAGAAGAGACAGGTGACAGGGTAGAAGTGACCAGAGAGCGGTTGGTAGGCACTGAAACAAGCCAGCTTGGGCTCCACCGGTTGTGCAGGGAAAGTCACCGAATTAGTTACTCAACCCCGCTGGATTTGCTTTGTATTTTAAGGGGGGAAAGTCCATCAGGCCTTACTTTTTTGCAGGTTATTGCGGGGATCGAAGGCAATCACCATGCAGGTAGTCCAGAGGAATGCTGCACAATGCAGGTGGGGCTGTGGGGCAACAGAGGAGGAAGTAGCAATGTCAGCGTGGCATCTAGGGGAGGGTGCATGGAACGGAGGGGGGGGCGGTTAGGAGGATCTTGGCCCGTGAGCAGAACAGTCAGTTGGGTGGAGGCAGGGAGAAAGGAGGTGTTTCCTGGGACAGGGGGCGGAGACCTGACGGCTATAAGCTCCCCGAGGATTCAAGTTCATTGAGTTTCTGCAGACACTGGGCGGCCTTCAGTACTCCTGCTGTGACCATCACCTGCGGACCCTACCTGCCTGCACCTGCAGCCCGCACTTGTATCAGGCCCCAGCAATGGCGGACCAGGCGCCCTTCGACACGGATATCAACACCCTGACCCGCTTCGTCATGGAGGAGGGCAGGAAGGCTCGGGGCACCGGCGAGCTGACCCAGCTGCTGAACTCCCTCTGCACCGCAGTCAAAGCCATCTCGTCTGCGGTGCGCAAGGCGGGCATCGCACAGCTGTGAGTTAGACCTCTGGTGGCTGTGTCTGGTCTATTAGAGCGCCTACGTGTCCGCCTCTCTGGACCCCCTGCTGGTAGCCAGTGTGCCCCTTTGACACCTGAGATTCCTGTCTCTTGCCCTGCTGCACGCAGCCTTCCTTCTCTTTCCTCCTGGTGATGGAGCAGGCACCCTGGGAGGGCTGTCTTACAGGTGTACAAACTGCTCTAGCCCTCCTCTGGTCTCAACTCTCCTTGCTGCTCTTCTGGAACTTACTACGTGTCGACAGGCTGACTTTGATCCCACAGAGATCTGCCTGCCTCTGCCTCCTGAGTGGTAGGATTAAAGGTGTGTACCACCACACTTGGCATGGTGGGTGATTTTAATGCTCTGGTCTATAGTTCATACTGTAGGTAGTAGGAAGTGAAGGAACATGGAGTCTCAGAGACACCTTCTTTTTTTAAACTACACAACTCTTTTTTTACTTTGTTCCAGTCTGAGCACATGTTTGGTATCTAACTGGTCCACATACAACTGAATGGAACCTGGGTTTTCAGATTATCTGTATACTTCCTTAATATTTCTCATGCATATGAACAATGCAGAAATGCTATGTGAGGTTTGTTGCTAACTTGAGCATATAATCCTTTGAAATGCATTTTTAAATTCTCCTCCAACAATACGACATGGGTTATTTATTTCTTTATGCATTTATTTCTCAAAACCTCTGTTTCTACTGTGTGACTTGGTTGAGATAATTCTTAAGAACAAAGCACCTGGCCACAGTTACTTTCAGATGCCAAGCAGGGCTAGGCCTTGCTAGAGAAAGCTAGGAACTGGTATGTTAGAGGTGAGGACTCCTTCACTATTTTGTTTTTGACCCTAAGGAGTCTTTCAGCAAGCACACACAGGTAAAGTCCCACTTCTTATTAAATCTACAGTGCACAGATTTAACTCTCTGAGGACCTGGGGGCTTTGTAAGAGACAGCAGTTGGTGTTTTTTACATTAATTTTAAAATGCACCAGTACTTGTCACAATTCCAGAGAGAATTAGAAACCCTAAATCTGCTGTGAGATACCCTACTTTTTAACTAACCTCAGATAATGAGAGTGGGTTTTAGTAGAAGGTGCTAGTTTTGGCACAGAAGAGAATGTGTATTAATAGACTAGACAGTGATGACATCAGTTTTGAAAATATCATCACAGATTCCTTAAGTATTTGTACCCATTGACAAAAACACCAAGCCATTCAAAAGAAGGAAAAAGAGGCCTCCCCCCACCCATGCCAAATCCTCAGGGTACCCACTGCTAACTGTTGTTGATTATTTTCTCAGAGGTTACTTTATGCTAAAGTAAATGTCTATATGAACATGCATTTACACATTCCTATGTAGCTAGCAAACAAAATGGGACTGTATTTGCCATGTTTTTTCTCCAATATATAATGAACATTTTCTGCCATCAGGGTGTGACATCCTCCACCTTCTTTTAAACTGCTGCATGGTGTTTCACTGAGCAGACATTTCATGAGTAATGAAAACCTTCTGCAGTTTTGTGGCAATTAAGTCCTCACTACTCTGGTTATTACAGTGGTAGAATAGGTGTTGATGATGGTTACATGAGTAGCTGATGGGAAGAAGTTGAATTCTTGTGGGACAGGGAACATGTGACTATTCACAGTATGACATGCAGTCAAACTACTAGCAGACAGACAAGATCTCGACAGGCCTCCAAATGACCACTAGCAGCCAGATATGATCTTGACAGGCCTCCAAATTATATTCATTTCGTCTTTGAAGTGTTGAATAAAGAGCCTTCAAAGAGCTTATTAATCCTACCAATTGACCCTAGAAGAGCATGCACCCAAAGGGATGGGATGGTTGCAGATCTTGCAAGAACCTCATCTGGACTGGTTCCCAAAGCTCCCTGTCTCACAGGGAGTCAGAAGAGTTGTAATTATGGATCATATTGCTATCCTATCTCAGTCAACCTTAAAGTTGCCACTGTTGCCATTTCCATGGTTTCTAATGATATGATATCTTGAGGCAGCATTTCATATAGCCCAGGTCAGGTTCTGGGGAAGGGAAGGCTAGAGGTATGGAGTTAGAGGAGAAAGCATGGAAAATGGGTGGAAAAGATGAAGGAGTGACCAGAGCTATGGTAGCAGAGAAGGCAGAAGAAGGACCTGGCAAAGGTAAAGTATGGATTGAATTTGAAAGGCAATGAGGGTTGTTTTCAAAGAGCTGGTTCTAGCAAATAAGAGTAGAATCATTCTATCAAACATGAAAGCAATACAAAACTCCAAAATGGAATTCCAAAGAGGACTTGACTTCTAGAGGCTGGGGAGCAGTGAGGGAATGTGGAATTTTGGAAGCCTTAGCTTAGGCTTTTGCAGAAACATACAGTCATATTCTGAGGGCATCTAAGCTACTGGACTTGACACATTGGCCCTGAGAATGTCACAACTGGGTTTAGAAGAGCAGGGAAATGCAGAACCAAAGAGCCCATTTCAGAGAGAAGGAGCTAGGCTTAGATTCCTGGGCTGACATTTAATTAATGTGATATGGATGAGTGGTAAAGCATGTGTGGGTCTCAGTTTCCTCTCTTGTAAGATAAGGACAACTGTTCTTCAACCTTAGAGTGTTGTGTGAAGATGAAGGAGCTTACTAATCACATACTGATATCACGACTGCTTTCCTGAAGACTTTTATTTATTTCTTTTGTAAACTGTTCTCTTTGTGCTTTGTCTTCATTCTATTTTGCAGCCACCCACATGCATATCAGCTGGAATATATTCTAGGCTACAACATCTGGAAAAGTGTGTGTGTGTGTGTGTGTGTGTGTGTAGGACAGGGCCAAACCTTTGCTGCTGTTTCTCAAAGGGTATCTGCCTTGTTTGTTGAGACAAGGTTTCTCATTGTCCTGGAGTTCACTTACTGATTAGGCTAGGCTAGGCAGGCTGGTCGGTGAGCTCCTGGGATCTGCCTGTCTCTGTCTCCCCAGCACTGAAATTACATTTGTGTGCTACCATGATCTGTTTTTAAAAGCCTGGTTCTGGGAATTGAATTCAGAAACTATGGTTGCATGGCAAACACATTACCAACTGAGCTGTCTCCTTAGCTCTCCAGCAATGTTTCCTTTTTATATGTGAGATCTTTCTTGTTTGATGGAGGAAAACAATAAACAAATTCAGCTTTAAGTCTAGAATTGTGGGATGGCTAATGTGTGCTTACACTTGTCTTCACATTTGCAGAATTTGTGGCACAAAATTACTTAGAACAGTACCAGATTCTCTTTTGTTTCTTGGCTTATCTGCACCACATGACTTGAGTGCATTGCAAATCTCATTCCAGGGCAGATTCAGAGCTGGCCTCATACTCTGACATCTGCCCATCTGTAACCTGCATGAACAAAAGCCAGGGTTGAGGTTTGTGACCCTGAAAAGAGCTTGATTGGCACCTCTTCCACGGATTTCTGAACTAACCCTTGGATTTTCCCCCCTGGGTGAATGGTTGGTCATTTACCACAAGATGAATCAATAACAGGGTGGAGGTGGAGTTACCCGGGACTTCAGTGATAAGACAAATCATAATCTACCTCCCCTTATCCTTGGTTAGATGTTCTGAAAACTAGTTTCAGTCTTGCTGTTAAGAACAGCCTTGACTCTCATTTTAGGGAGTCAGACATGCCAAGGGACATGTCTCTAGACCAGGTGTGTCACACTCCCCGTTTCTGGCTAAGTCCATCAGGTTGAGCTTAGCCAGGGAGTTTGGACAGATTGAGAGGGACCACATACTTGGTAGGAGGAACATACAGAATTTGAATGTAGGTCTTTGTGCTGCAGACTTCTTGCTAGGACCTCACTTTGCTTCTCAGCACGGGCATGCTAATGTTGAAAGAACTAGGGGTAGGAGTAGGAGTAAGATGATAATATTTCTTGAATGTCTGTCTATACTGGGCATCATTTAGAGCCTTTGACCCTTATCAACTCATCCTTCACCCTCCCCACACACTATGAAGCTAATCGTCTGTATTCCCATGTTATTTATAGTTGAAGAATCAGAGGCCGGAGGTATGAAGTGCCTTGCACAGGGCTGCTAAGTATGTTGTAGAGCTGGGATTAGAATCCTGGTGATCTGGAGTTCCAGCCTGTGGCTTTGACTGTCACCTCCTTTGTTCTTCTGACAAGCTGGTGGGAGGGAAAAACCACTGTCCTTGCCTACACAAGTTTGTGCAGGAGGTACACATTAGTTTTTTTCTTTTTTAAAAAAACATTTTACTTATTTGTTGTGTGTGTGTCTATGTGTGTGTATGCATGCATACTATGGTATGTATGAGGAGGTTGGAAGACAGTTTGCTGGAGTCAGTTCTCTCCTTCCACGATGTGGGTGTTGGGGACTGATGGTCAGACTTGGCAGCAAATACTTTCATCCACTGAGCCATCTCCTCAGCCCACAGGGTACACTTTGATGGAGGGTATGCTCATGTACAGCGGCTTTGTGGTGGACTAGGGCCCACTCAGATGGCAGAATTCATCCATTCAAAACATGTTTATTGAGTACTTGCTGCACATTGGTTTTGCTCCTGGAGCTAAGGATATGAGCTGAAGGAAATATTCTTTTGTTTAGGCTCAAGAACTGTAAATTCTCAGTTGTGTAAGGTCAGTTCTTTTAGCAAATACCATTGTTGTGTGATATTTTGTTTGTGTTCTGACAAATAAAGCTTGCCTGGAGATCAGAAAGTGCAGCTAGCCACTAGTTAACCACAGAGGCCAGGCAGTGGTGGCACACACCTTTAATCCCATCACTTAGGAGCAGAAAGCAGGAAGATCAGGAGTTCAAGGCCACTCTGGGTTATATAAGATTGAACCAGTCTAAAAGAGAAACAGAGCCTGTCAGTGGTGATGCATGCTTTTAATCCCAGCACTTGGGAGATGGTTTAATCTCAGCACTAGGGAGGTGGAGACAGGAATATAGACAGGTGGGTAGAGACAGAATCTCGGCCCATTCAGTCTGAGATTTTG